TGATCTCTTCTCATGCCATTTTCCAGTATGTTCTCAAGCACAAGAATGCAATCTTTGGGTTGGCATAATCCAATCTCTCAGATGAGTAGACAGTGATGACTTCCCCGTCTTCCCAAAGAGGAAGAGCACAGACACAGCTGGACTTCTGAAAGCTGAAGATCTCAGTGCAGTCTCATTCAATGGGCTCTACAGTTGTGCCTCTCAGTCTTCTAGGGAGTGTGGTGACAGTTTAGGCACCCAAATCCCACCTCTAACCTTCTGAATCAGAGTCTCCAACCCTATGTGATTCTGAGGCGCACCCATATTCATGATCTGATTTTGCAGAGAAAGAGCCTGGGTTTGGAATCCAGAGCAGGCTCTTCCACACCTAGGAGTCACATTCTCTGGGTGCTAAGTGTACAAAGGAAACTGTGAGGCTGGTTACGTGATTTGTAAGTTGCTTCTAGCTCCCCCAGCCTGGCTACTAGTAATTTATATATCATGCAGAGTTCAGAGGAGACAACCATAAGAGAGAATCCTGATTCTAACTACTACTATTTTCAGGTCCTCTTCACACTCAATAAAATAAATATCTGAGCTGTGATCAAATACAAATTCAATTTACAGGGGACATAAACTACACTGTCCCTAAGAAGGACTGAAATTTGCCAGGGCAAATCCCCCCCTATGTACTAATACTGTGGTTCTCTATTCTGGAAACTATGTATTGGAGAAACTTTCTCTTTTAGAAATGAGCAGACTGGGTAGGTGTGCCAGCCTTGGAATGGATTAATGTCACATTGAGCTCTAGTCACATTTGCAAAAGTCTTCTCCCCGTGCCCTTGAATGCAGCCATACTACTATTTCCTAATATTTTTAAAGAGGTCAACAGAAAGCACTGGTCCCAAAAGGGATGGACTGAACTCACAAGATGTTCTTAGTTTTATCCTTCCTTGAGGTGGGCTGACTGCTTGGTTTCTGACCCAATGCCTACTATTGATTTAAATCTCTTTTGTGGTTTATGAACTCCTCACTCCTCAGGCCTCACACTGCTTTTGGGAGTCTCTTGGGCTAGCCCTTGCTTCAGATCCTAGTATTTCTTTGGTTCTTCTGATCCTGGCCCCCTGCTCTAGGTTCTAAATCCCTTACCTTCTATAGTTCGTACCTCATAGCAGAAAAGACATCTCTGTATATCACAAGCCTGGGCTGGCCATGGTATTCTGCATTTTTAAATGCATTTTATTTTCCAGCAGTCTACATTCTGCCAGACAGTACTGTGCTAAATATTCTACATTTTACCAATGTTGGAGAATCTGAGAGACTGTTTCTATCACCTCTCTGTCTGTTCTGTGGCTGTGGGTTCTCTAGGGCTGTCAGGAGTATGAACTCAGGAGAGATATGTTGCTGTGGGAGGCCAGGCAGCAGATAGACCAATGGCAAGTGTAGCTCAGCTTCCTGGGTAACAGAAAGATCTAGGAGGCAAAGTCACAAAAAATCTGCAAGTCTCAATAGTAGGGATGCTGGCTATATTAAAGGAACTACACCCCTTGAGTATGCCCATGAACACGTGCTTATGAGAAAGCAGAGTCAGTCCTAGGATAACAGCTCCTAGAAGGCACTCATGGATCCCCTACTCCAAATCCTTGGTGCACCAAAAAAGAAACTGAAATTCTAGTTACTATGATTAGATTAGGGTGCCAGCAACAGCTTTTCCCAAAAACTCTATTTTCCAGTAGCAGACGCAATGCAGATCTGGAAGCTAACTCTCTCTTACTCTACACTGGAGCACATTTTGGTTCACTAATTGACAAATGTTGCAGGCTTTCCTTGCTCCTTTCTTTCCATGGCCTCATGTGAGGCAGGTGTAGTGAGATGGAACAGGAACCAGGCTCTAAGAGTAAGAAGAGATAATTCAATCTTGGGGAGCCAAGAGAATTATGGAGCTAGGAGAAAGAAGAGAAACAAAAGTCTGTTTCAATTGGTGCTCTTCATTTTTAAATGTTGTATCTCATATAGCTGTCCAGTAGCTTTTACGTCTTGGAAATGATAATTAAAGCAATTTAATATCCCTTTACCCTAATGAAGAACACATAACTTAATATACTGGAAATAACATTCACAATGTCTCATGTCAACCCATGAGAAATTGTTTAAGAGTAGCTGAAGATTGATGGGCATAAGTAGATGAATAAGAAGAAAGGAAAAGTAAAGCTAAGGAACATCCGGAAATTTTCCTACCAGTAAAATCTATTAGTCTCTGCAACAGTGCCCAAGGGAACCTGTGAAAGCCCAGTCTTATGAGTCATTTAAAAGTGGAGTGGGTTTGGCTCCTGGAATTATTCCACAGGGGAAACTTGGTGAATGTCGGAAATGGACAACAGGACCTAAGGGCTGCTGTCACGTGGACATGTCTGGCCTGTTCTCGGGATCTAACACAAAGTGCAAGGAAGGTGGCCCATCAGAAACTGCTACTGTAGTGCGGACATATACTGCCAACATCTCTCCCAGCAAAGGGGTAGATTGGGGTCCTGAGATTAGACAGACTTAAGGAGTAAAAGGTCAACTTTGTATCACAAGAATAGTAGCCTCAGTGGTGGACTTAATTCTTTCTACGATTCTGGTTGCAAATGAATCGGCTGAGAACAGAATCAAATTTCCCCATAAGGCCAACGCAGAACTGAACCACTGAATTGATTTCATTCTTGTTCAAAAACCAAATGTTACTTTATTAAAAAATTTGAGAGCTGGCCAAATAGCTCAGTGGATTAAAGTGCCTGCAAGCAGACACAGGGGACGGGGTTTCGATCCCTGGGCCCGCCTTGCTGGCCTTGTCCCTGGGGCACTCTGAGATGCAACTGAGACTGGGCATGGTGGCACACGCCTATAATCCAGCTCTTGCAGGGCTGTAAACAGGCAGATAACTACGAGTCCGATCTAGTAGTGAGAGCCTAAACACTCTATAGACCCTTCCCTAATATATATATATATATATATATATATATATATATATATATATATGTTTTGTTTTGTTTGAACAAATCTGAAGGTACATTTGGTCTAGTTGTTAAATTTACCATCATGACTTCCCAGGGTTTCAGTGCTCTCAACTGTAACATGTTGAAAATAAAACCATTTCTATTTACATCTCAGGTTGTCATAAAAAAAACAAGAGTATGGATGTGAAATGACCTTGAAATGTAAAGTACCACAGAAATGTAAATGGCGGCACTTCTTGGTTCTTGCCCATTTCAGTGCCACCCATCTAAGAACAAATTTTTGTGGACTTTTTTTTTTTATTACCTTATAACTTCTAGTAACTGAACATAAAAGCTGTGGGAAAAAAAAAAAAGGTACTTTAACCATACTAGCTGTAAATAATACCAAATGATACAGCAAACTCAGGAATGAGGAAGAAGAGGGTCTCTTTTGAAATTATTACTGTGCTTTTGAATGATCTGCCTGGTTTTGTTATGAGGAAAAATAAGATTTAGTATTTCGTATAAATGTTATCCTTACAGTATGACCCCCATTCACAAAACAAAATCAATTCTCAAGGTCACACACTTAATAAGGGAGGGTTTGGATACAACTCAGAACCTGGAAGGTTCTAACTCTACTGTACTATGTGGCACACTGGCATTTATCACATGCTAATTTTGTTTTATTGCATAAACATGTACCATTGATCTCAAGGGACAAGGTGCAGATGATTCAACACAACCTAGGCAGGCAGGCTGGAGTCAATGCTCCAAACTCCATCATAGTTTTCCTTTCAGCCATCTACAAGATACCAGTGTTGAAACGTGCTATGTCACTGCCTTTCTTTCTACCAACTACCCAGTAGTCAATAATGTTCCATTATCAGGTTAGAAAAACCCATGAGTCAATCTGAAGGGCCCAAGTGCTTCAGGGAGCATTAATATTGAAAGTTTGGGGCTTGTTGAGAGCATATCAGAAGCTATTTTTGACAAATAAAGTGTACTAATAGAATATTAGCAATACAGTACCTACACCAAAGACCTTTAAAGAACAGAATCCATGGCATACACTAAGAGTTAGAGAAGTGCTGTTTCAAGCAAGAAACAGACAAAAGCTGAAAGCTACTAGGCTTTTAAAGACAACATGGGCTTTTAATCTCAAAGCAATTTTTTTCCACTGGTATTACTGAAAAACTGTTGTTTTTCAGCTATCCAGACAATACCAACTCTCTCATCAGATATTTGTGAGTGTTAGAAACTTACAATAAGTGGTATTATTATAACTATAGCAAATTGGACCACAGAAAGTCATGCTGGGTAACTCAAACACTATATTTAGTTGGGTTAGAAGGTCAACTCTAGGAAATTTGTCAGCAGAAAGAATCATGGTTTCTAACAATTTCTGTTTCTCAGAACCACCTACATCCAACTGTTAAAGTAGTTTAAATGACAGACAATTAGTGAACTGTTAGAATTGTTAATTTGCTTTAAGGTCATCATTAGCTTTCTAAAGTACATACATTAGAGAAAATACATGTCTTGTAAACGTCAGATTATTCTGATACTGCCAAAAGAAATACATGAAAGCAAGGGAAGTTCTTTCAAAAATTCTATCTTGGTCTCCTTTTCCCTGTTCAACTGAGGAACCTCAACCAAACTTGTAGAAGGACTGATTAGGAGTTGAATGGTATAAGACTATCTCCTCCTTATGGACTCAGAGCTGCTAGACACTTAATTTACACCCTTCATTTTTGCTGGTTTTGAATACTGGTCTAGGAGTGTGAGGCAATGACCTTAGAGATTACAAGTATTAGCACTCAAAAAGTTCACAGCAAATGATGAAAGTATAATTTTAATAGATTCTTTTTCTCTACAAGTAAATGATTTTAACAAAAGAAGAATCCCTACTCTTTCATTACAATAATTCTTGATGAGGAAGACTCTGAATTTATAAAGCTTTTCTACACATATAAGCCTTACCCCTGCCCCAAAGTACTGGGCTTTCTACTCTGGTTCGTCAGGCAGCTTGGTGCACACACCTACCTGTTTGGCATGATTGACACAGTGCATGTACTGGTTAGCCAGAGTGGAGCAGCTGAGGGTCTGCTGGGTGTTCTCACGGTAACACTGGAGGATTTTGGCCTGCAGATCAGCACAGACTGGATGATAATCATACCGCCTGAAAGAGAAACAGAGACCACAGAGACAAAAGATTTTCATTCAGAATACAATGCCAAGAGAAAATATATAAAGTATTACATAAAAGTGCTGGAAATACAGGAAAATATTTATTTTTTATTTTATTATTAATTTTTTTCTATCATTTTAGTAGTCTCACTACACAGATTGGACTCATAGTGAGCCTCCTGTTTTCAGCCTTCCAAGCACTGGGATTACAGGCACACGCCATCACACCCAGTTTCATTCTCTGTCTCAGTGCACCCTGGGGGTGGGGCTGGCATTGCATTCTGGGATTGAATCCCCAGTCGCTGTGCCTGCCTAAGCAAGTGCTTTAGTCTGCTAAGCTATCTGGCTGGCCTGGAAAACATTTAATGAGATAGTTTTCTTCAACTTTGAAAAAAATTTTTTCCATGATAAAAATGTAAATATATTTTAGGAAATTATTCCCACTGACTGATACCAGTATAAATTACTCTGGGGACTATAACCTCATCTCCTAAACCCAAACCCAGACTCTATGAATGGCGGCAGTCCTTTGCATCCTGAACCCCTGGGGCAGAAATCAGAGAGTCATAACTTCTTCTCTGCCCGCATCTGGCAGGTCACAATGCTGGAGATCCCCAGTCTGCTCCTCTTCCTCCATACTCACTAATTCCAAACTGCACTTGTCCTAGATTCAAGCTATGACCTGTAAACTACTCTTGTTCCATATGTCTTCCACTGGGTTCTTTCTACCACATCAATCTAAGCCAGTACCTCCCCTACTACTTCTCATAGAATATAAGGTAACAGGCACAGCTCTTTCCCATGGGGTTCCTGCCTCCTCTTTGGCCTCCAAACCAGCCCGTTACTGCTGCAGCCTGCACACGTCACATTCAGGGTCAGGTCACCTGTTTCTCTTCACATTTCTGCTCATGTTACTCTTGACTTTGGGAAAACCTGCCCCCAAATTCCACCCACACCTAAAGAATAGGAAAAAAACCTACTCATTCTTTAATGCTTAGGTCAAGTATAACCTACTGTAGTTTTCACTAGATTCCTCCTCCCTTGTAGACTCTATCATCCCTTTTAAAGTGGCCCTATGTTAATGTTCCTCACCCATTCATATGACACCGATTACAGTACAGTCTAGTACAATTTACTAGCCTCCATTTAATAGAATGTGAACTCCAAGAAGCACTATGTCTTATTTTCTTTTGGATGCTGGCTATTAAATATGGGTGTCTTTACAGAAGTCTTGCAATAAATTTGTTGAATGAATACAAATAGGTAAAAGGAAAACCATAAAATTTCCTAGGTTGAAGTTCTATAATTAAAAAAAATCTCTGATTTTAGATTATTCACAGTTAATATGTTATATTCTAAATGTAAATGTTGCTAAAGAGCTTATAATACACACTTCAGAAATAATAAAAAATGACTAAAATAAATTATATATATGAAAATAAGAGACTTGTTAATATAGAAGGGGATCTTGGATTATAAGGACCAAATACACACAAAAGAAAATACATAAAATTATCACTTTAAATCTAGAAATTCTTATTTTTTCAAATTAGTTTTATTTAATATAAAATGCTTCCAGTCTTCCTTATCAGTTCTGTCTTTGAATTTTAAATTTGTTATTTCCGTATAATCTTGAAATAGCATTATTTTAAATTTAATGGGTTCTAAAAAACCCCTAGAGAACACAGGGGGAATATTTTCCATCAATATGGAAACCCCTGGGTGACAATTTGTCTCTTCATTACTTTTATGCAACATACTAAGCTAATATATATTTTGCTGGAATAGAAATGCAAACCATGTTACTGGTCCCTGAGGGAATTTACTTTCTACTATGCTCTAAAGGAGGGGGAGAGGATCCTACAAATTTTACATAATACTACTTTTGCTTTTTCATTCATTACCTTTGCTGCTTTTGTCAAATATCTAAGAACAAAATTTAAATCCAATCCCAGGAGTTTCGATGTCTGTGAATGTTTCTGGATATAGACTCCCCTAATCCCCTACCTTGAACATCAGTGTTTAAAAGGACTTAGCTGTGCTTATTGTAGCGCAGGCACAGGTTCCACTGACTAGTGCTCTACAGCAATACCTGTATCGGGATCAATGTCCAGTATAAACTGACTAATGACTGTAATAGTCCATAGGAAAGCAGAATTACATTCTGTCCTAGTGTTGACAACTGCCCTTGTCTGCACTATATCTTAGGCTTAAAGGCAGGGGAAAGAGGATGAGAAAGAAAGACTAGAGCAGCCCTTATCAGATACATGGTCCTTGTTTAGTAACATACAAGAAGTAGAAGCAGTACAGTGAGGATCTGTACATTT